CGTCGTGTCGATACCAAGGTTGTGTCTGTCCCTCTTGCAAATGTCCTCTTTATATATATCACAATGGTTGTGGTGTCGCGTGCGCGACCGCCTGTTCATCACCGGTCGCGTGACAACGCGACCATACGTCGGTTCTCGATCAACGAATCGAATACAATATATATATCACAAGGTTATGATTAGAAGGTGGGGTGAGGTGGGGTGAGGTGGTGTGGTGTGGGGTATGGTGTAGTGTCGTCTGGTGCTTTCGTTGTTTCTCTCTCTCTCTCTCTCTCTCTCTCTCTCTCTCTCTCTCTCTCTCTCTCTCTCCGTGTTCGTATTTGTGGCTGCACCTTCTCGTTTATTCGCTCTGTTTTTTGTGTGCTGTGTGTTGTTGCGTGTTATGTACTGTGGACGTGTTGTGCGTGGGGCCAAGGATGGGGTCAGTCGACAATCCCGTCAACGGATTCGCGTAGCCGCACGCTTGCTTTTGACCAGTGTTGCTGTCTCGCCCGTGAGGAGACTCGCCGACATACGACATTACGTGCCGTCGCTCTTCTCGGGCTTGAGCTTCGTCGATTTGGCCTCGGCTACTGTTACTGCTGTTGCTGCTACTGCTGCTGCCGCAGCGCCAGCCGCGGCGACCGCGGCTGCGGTTGTTACTCCGGAGCCCGACTTCTCGCTCTTTATCCTCGCAAGAGTTTCTTCCTTTACGGTGTCGAGAGCCGTGAGCGAGTCCTTGACCGCATGGTAAATGATGTTCTTGATCTGGAGCTTGTCCTCGTGGTTCGTGTGAGTGTCGGAGAGGGCGCGGAACTCCTGCGTAAGGTGAAAGCAGTGGGATATGTTCTCGGGTGAGACAAAGTCCTCCGCGACCTTTATGCAGTTGTGGAGATTTCGCACCTGGTGGGGCGCGCCCGCAGGCACGAACACGGCGTCACCCAGGCACTGGACTATTGCGTACCTGTGGATTTTCCAAGTTTCATCAGCACAAGAATTATAAAGAAGCTTCCATTGTGAAAATTCGAGGCATCATTTGCTTTGCTCGAATTCAAATTCCAATTCAATCGTCGAACATAAATCGCTTTAAAATTACGTAAACCAAGGCGCAAAAGTCAGCCTTTTCTTACTTATTTATATTAGATTTAGGCGTTTAAGTGCATATTAAACGTATATAAATAATATAATGGAATGAAATTTCGGTAATATGTCTTGAAGAAATTAATGTTCCAAGAATCATTTAAATATTGCATTAGGGATATTTTGTATAAATTTTGAATATGTGCCGAGTCAATTCAAGTCTATAAAGTTTTACGATCGATAGATCTTAAATAGAATGAAAAGTTGGAAAGTTTTTATTTACAAAACTTTTATTTATAATACTTTATAGACGTGACAACCTTCTTTCATATCAAGCGCGTGAAAATCGGAAAAATTTGGAAAGAAATTTCTTTTTCAAAATGTCCAATGTGAGAATTGGAGGAGAGCGATGAGTAAAAAAAATAGCAAAGTTTTAAAAAAATTTTGATTTTACAAATGTATTTGGAAAGAAGAATTTCATTTTAACGATAACTTTTTAATAAATAGAAATGGTGTATAATCACACTTAGCTTTACACTGCAAATAATATATTAACAAAATTTAATTGGGGGGGGGGGCAATAAAATTCTAGGTAAGAGTCTGATCTACGGACTTTTGATTGAAATAGTTTGAAAACTTGATATTAACAATTAAATGTTGTACGGTTTATTAAATTGTTGCGGGCAGATAAGAGACAATGATAAATCTTTAAATCCGATTTTTAAATAATAAACTTTTATTAGACATTTGTCATCGTATAATTAAAGCAGCAGAGACGACGACAAAGTCTTAAAAGCTCTAGATTTTGTCGTGAGAGCGTGGAACGTGTCGGAACTAACGTCTCTTGGCATCCCAGAGTATCGTTTCTCATCTCCTCAGCCGTCTCGCTCGCTCAAGCCTGCCCCTCGCCGTCCCTCGCCAGCGCCCCCTCCCCGCCACGCCATCAATAAAAATGCCAAGGCTTTGCCAAATAACTCACCCTTCGACGGCGTAATCGCGGTAGAGTCGCTCGCGCAGCGGTCCATCCAGGTAGAAGCTTTGATCGTGGATAGGATCGTGGTGCGGCTCGAGCCTCGCGCCCTTCTCCAGGGCCACGGCGTTCAGCATGTCACGGATTTTGTCGGCGTCGCGCGCCGCGTATATGTGCCAGAGCGCCCCGGGGATCTCGCCCTTCTCGCGGACGCGCCTCCGCGTAAGTATATCACAGCCTGCCTCATCGATCGCCTTGAGTGCCTCTTTCACGTGCTCGTCCCTGTCGCCGTCCTTGGATATGCCGACGTAGACCATGACATTGACCGCGTCGGACACGTCGAGGTGTAGGTTGGTGGTGCCCTTGTCCGGGTAAAGGGCCGAGCCGTACGCATTGTACATTTTGGGTCCGAGGTCCGGCCTGGTAAAAGTATCCGGCAGCCTGCTGGTGAGGTTGAGCCTGCCGTACCTGTGCGTGTACTCCGAGAGGGGCACGCACTTCATGAGGTCGGCGAACCTCGCCGGCAGAATGTCGGCAAAGTCGCCCCTCGACGGCCAGTCTTTGAGCTTGAGTAGCATCGCGTTACCCTGCTCGTCCTTAAGGCGCTTGGACGAGTGCTCGAAGCCCTCCCAGAACTTCCACATTGGCTGCTTAGGCACGAGATTACCGGTCATGCAGTTAACGAGGTCGTTCTTCTGGTCGCCAAAGTCCTTGGAGAAGCTGTCGGGATGCCAGAGGTCCTTGTCCAGGTGCTTGTGCACGTCCGACACAATGACCGGCTGACCGCGTTTCCATTGGTCCTGGAATATCCTGTAATTCTTGGGATTGTTGGGATCCTGGAGCCGTAGGAGCTTGCCGTCGCAGAGCCACGAGTGCGGCACCTCCGGATACAGAATCTTGCTCTCGGTCAGTGTCATTATCCTGATTGGCAGTGGATCGCGACCGCGCTGTGGGCACTTGTATCGGCGCACAAAATGCTTGAGTTCGCGGGGCTTCTCGTCGTCCATTCCCGCCTCTTCCTCCTTCTGCAAATTCAGCCATTCAAAAGGTTATTCGAGCTTATTTTATTACGGAGCTCAACGCTATTCATCAACGACATACATCGCGATAATGCGACAACGAACCGTTAATAATAATAAGGCGAGACGTTACCTTGACGCTGTGCTCGATGACACTGCTTATGACCTCGTTGAGCGTGTCCATTTTTGACTTTTTGCCGGCTTTGGCGAGGCTATTTTGGCTGCTATTGGTGCTGGCGAGGGTGGAATCGTTGGCATTGGCTCCGGAAGCGGCACCGTCGCCCGTCGTCGCGTTATTCGTCCCACCGCTGTCCGGCGAATTGGACCTGGAGCCACTGCCGTTGGGCTTGTGAGATGGCCGTATGAGAAGCTCCCGGAGGGTGGAGTGATTGCCGTCCTGGTCCTCGTCCGAGTCCGAGTCCGTGTCGCTCTCGTTCTTATCCTGATTCTGTAGGGCGACGTCCGCGAGCCAACTGAGGGGCGAATTCTTCTCATCCCCGTTCGTTCGGCCATTGCTGCCACTCTCGCTCGAATTGCTGCTACCTCCGCCGTCCTTCTTCCTCTGCTTCTCCTGCTACGATAATGCCCCGGTGAGGGGAGTTAATTTTTTTTGTCCAATTTAAGGGGTCGGCGGGGGGGACTTTTAAACACGCCTGACTCAGAGTTAAAAAGCTCATGATTACATAATCACGATCGTTCATTTATTGTTTAAATAAAAATTCATCATTTTAGTGAAGAGCGATTTTGCCAATAAGTGGTATAAAAATTCCGTGCATCCTCCAATCGATTGCACTTACTTTATTTATTTAAAAATCGAGATGATTTACACGTTATCATTATGGATGGCGTTATATTTATGAAAACTTTGCGTTTAAGTTGACTTGGCGTTTTATCAATTAGCTATGATGCGTCGAGTGCCTAATCGAAGCGATGCGCAAGCACCTCGTAAATAAATAGATGAGTTTGGCGCTTGGAAAACGGACATTTTGCATTGGTGTGCTAACCTTGATCTCTTGCTGCGCGTTGCCGTTCATCACGGACACGAGGTCGCCCTTGATCAGGCTTCTCAGGTTCTCGTTAGTTGGCTTGACCGCCAAATCGCAGCTGCAGTGCTTGGCGATGCCCCACTCGCTTCTGCACTCGTGGAGGCGTTGATCGATTTGTATGAGGCAGTCGGCCGGAATGATTTGAGTGAGCAGGAGTTGCTCGGGCACATGGGTCTGTCGATTCGCACATAGGAGCCAGGCGTACTTGTCCCGACCCTTGCCGCTCTCCGCCCACACGACCGTTTTATTTTTACGAGCCTGAAGCATTAATGAATAGGGAGGTGAGGGGATGAATTTCTCGTCATCGTCGTCGTCCTCGGCTAAGAGTAAGCAGGGCTGGTAAAGGGATTCGAATGGCCTTCGTCGGCAATTTATCGGGCATTTCACACCGTTTTCGATGTTGAATTTATTTATATTTACTACATACGTATTTTACACTGGTATTTTACACGAGTTTAAAAATGCTACTACGATACTCGCTTCATATGTATTTCTTTATTTGTTGGTTGGTTGGTTGGTTGGTTGGTTTGTTTGTTTTTTTTTCTCATAATTTTAATATCAACATCACATAATGAAATAATGGATTATAGGTGAGGCTATGATGTAATCGGTTGCTGCTTATTCAGAAATTATAGTGTACGTGGAGAATAATTACACGACTTTAATTTAATTTAAGAGCAATGAAAGTATCAATATTAATTTACCTCGTAACAATCTATGCAAACAACGAAGCCGCACTTGCCGCAGGTCCAATGATAGTTGAACAGCGTTGTATCACAGAGATCGCACATTTCTCGGACTCCTTTAACGACTCGCTTCCAAATTACCGGCTGCTCTCCGAGATCCGAACCCACTGCGACGAATATGAGAAAGAGAATCATGTTGTTAGTCACGGTAACACATTGGATTTCAGTGATATTAAATTGCATTTACATATTAAATGCTTCACATAGGAAAGATAAGAAAAGGTGCAACAACAACAACAAATATATATATATATATATATATATATACTATGTCTTTAAAGATATCGTTGTAGATAATATTTCCATATGAATCCAGAAACGTATGAGAGATAATTTTGTAATTACCTCTAGCTAAATGCTCTTCGACCACGCTCTTCTCTTGATGTATAAGATCACAAAATTGGTCTCCTACTTGTCTAATAATTTGATATGCCAATTCAATATCAAAATCCGATTTATCCCAATCCTTTTTACCATCCTTTTGTGTTTCTTCCGTGTACTTATCTCGTTTTATTAATCTGTTGTCTTTTCCTGGTAGCCAAAGTTGTATATCATTCTGGAAATAGGATTTATAAAAAACGATCCAATTATTTTTTATCGAAACGTCTGAATCGGGTGCAAGCACCTAGGCATAAAGCGTGGGTATACTCCATCCACTTAAATACAAATGAAAACTTTTACAGATCAAAATTGGCATTACATTAAATTAACTGCAATTTATACGATTCAATTACTGTTAAGTTAATGTAAGTTAAAATAACATTATTGTCGCAGAAAACTTCTAATGACACAACAATGCGGATAATCAAGGAACCAAGCAATCGCGAATGGAAAATTAAAGTAATTAAATAATTTAGAAATGCTCACTTCGTCGGCGTCTATGTAAGGGTCATTGAAGCCTGCCATAACAAGCGTTCCAGACTTGGTATATTGCATCCTTCGGAAAGCGTAAAATCTACAGAAAACAGTTATACTTCTAACGGAACAAATTTTGTCTCGCTGGTTGGGGGTTAATCTGCATTCTCGACACTTGGATATTCTTGTGCATGTGTAACGTATGCATAAATCATCCTGTATCCAGCTTTGACCTGTTTTTATCAATTTCTCTTCATCAGGCTTGTCTTCCATTGTACTGATTCGATTATTTCTTCTCTTTTTGCTCTTATTACTAACACCACTAGACTTGCTACTATCTATTCGCTTTTTTTTTTGACGAGGTTGATAGTCTTCTTCTTCTTCTTCTTCTTCCTCTTTTGTTTTAATATCTTTTGTGGTCCTTGGTTTTCTTCCTCGTTTTTTAGGGACCTTTTTATTCCCTGTAATATTAAAATAAGAAATTTTTTATATTACAGACAGTAGGGCAAGTATAATAAACACAGATAGATATATTCGATGGCAATTGACTTTATAACTTTATACTACCAAATCACTTGGTTAAAAAGTGAGTTTGAACGTATACTCGTTTGAGAAAAATTGTTAAAATTGCGTGCATGCAAAATTTTATTTCAATCAACAATCAACTAAATAAGTTGCCTCTCAATATTATTAAATTATAGGCAAATGGAATAGTTTTAAGCATTAGTTTATGCATTATGATTGGAATAAGCGTAGTCAAGATTGATAGTTTCTAATCATTATTTGTAGCATCTGAAATTTGAATTCCGAATCAAATTTCAAGAATGAACTTTTAACTAGAGAATAGGTAATTATTTATATCATTCATCTGCCTCGGTTGGATACACCATACTGTTGAACTCCTATTCCCAGAGATTTTAATAGATGTATGTCTGTAGGTTAATTTTGAGAATAACAGATATACATAAACAATGGTTATTTGAAAAGTATGTTGAATGATGGTGTAAGGTAGTTGAGAAATAAAGAGAAGAAAAAATAAACATTTTCCAAGTATATGCAGAATGACACCGCAATTGGCTGTGATATTTACTAGGGTACTTCAGGGAAGAAGAAAGGTTAATGATTAAACAAAAAAAAAAAATAAAACAAAAAAAAAACAAAAAAAAAACAAAAAAAAGCACAGAACCATAAACTCTTAACAAGACATCGAACGCGAGTCTCCTAGAGATTTTTTCTTCCATTCACAGAACGCAAAATAAACACCAGCGCGACATTGTTTTCATTTCTCTCGACTGTTACCCTAACCGTGCAAGTGAACATAGCTCACCCGACGACAGCAACTTATAATGGAATGTTTGTTTTTTTGTTTGGTTTTTAGTTTGCTACACGTCAACTAACCGTTTCCCGAGGCTTTGTAGGTATCAATCGTGGATATTTGCATGACGGCTCGAGCGGGGAATCGCTGTTCGCTGGAGTCGCTCACTGATCCAGCCTCGCTCTCGTTACTGGACTCGCTACCGACGGCTGCGCCTCCTCTACCCTGCTTCTGTTTCTTTCTCCGGCGCTGCTCCTGGACGGCCGTTTGCTGTTTCCAGGCGGCTCCCTTCTTTCGCTTTACCTACCACACAGACATAGATTATTTATAGTAGTCAGCCAGTTCACCACCTCCTCTCTCACTCAATTTCTATTTCCCTCTCCCAGTACCAGATCACCCCACACTGTTCAACTCCCCCTCCCGAACCCGTAACATGAGCTATCGCGAGTCGTTTCCTGCTCATTTGTAACGAGAACTTCGGATACTTGATATCAATTATACAGGATAGAGGTTACAACAGCGCCAGTACTTCCGTAATTCCATCGATTCTCCGTACAATAGTTCATAAAATGCTCTCGCTAATGTATGTAATTGCCTAATAATTCTTTGCATCAATCGTATCAAATAGTGACAGTGAACTTTTCTTTTCTCAACCGCATTCACATATTGCGGTTTTTTTTTGTTTTTTTTTTGACAACCAACAATCACAATGCGTAATCAAATTTCAAACAATTAATTCAAAAACTAAATCTATCTGACATTAGTGCGGCGGCTCATTAAATCATAAACAATAGCTTTTAGAACAATTTGAACATTATTTTTATACCTCTTGTTTATTAAGCCTCAATGTAGTATGTATAATCAGACTTTTTAGGTTCTTTTAAACTTCAATTTTGTATATGCAGCGAGTATTGCGTGTACAAAGATTAAAGAGAGACAAAAAAAGAAGAGGAAAGAAAAAAAAAATTTTTTTCGTAACATTGCAATCAATTATTGCTCATTTACGTTTTACTTATCACATTAAGAATGCCACCAAATGATTAACAAATTTATCTACAATGCACCAACAATTCCAACTTTTCATTCTTTTACAAAATAACAGATTATCAAATTGCCATCACAATTCTCAATTTTTTTCAACCAATTGGCATATCACACTAATCAAGCACAATTCATTTTATAAAAGACTCAATATTATAATAGAGAATAAAATAATAATAGAGAATAAAATAAAATAAAAAAATTTAAAAAAAAAAAAAAAACAAACAAACAAAGAAAACGACTCTTGTTGTGGGAATTAACTATCTTTCAACTTGTTTATTTTCTTTTGCTTGTTTATATATTCAGACATTACAAGTGATCGTGATCTAAATTAAATATAAACAATAACCTGCAATCTTAAAAAATAAACAAACTGTATTCCATTCTTTGAATGATGCAAATTTCGAATTTATGTAATGTAAACAGTAAACAATAATGACGCTGTACAAATTTTTTTCGTATTAATTTCGCTAAACAATTTTATTTCCATCTTATTGCTTACAATGTGTGAAAATCCTTTTTATCAGGGCACTTATATAACGCATTTTTATAAAAGGGACGCGACCCTTTACCCTACGATTCTTATGCAATCACCATTAATAATCTCGTTGCAATTCTTCGGCTTGTTCGAGCAGCTAACAATCGAATAAAGATATTTCCATTTCCGCCAAAAAGCACACATTCTAATCATCGGGCGACGATGTTTACACTGTCACTACAATAATAAATAATTGCCGTTTTATTTAATAGCAGCCAGATATTGATGCCATGTGACGCACTTTTAGGTTATATTTCATTTATCATACCACAATATAATAGCGAACCTACCAAATTAACGAGGAGAATATCTTCCATCGATATCTTAAGGCACACGTAATTCTTCTCACTCGCGTTGTAAAAAAAAAAAAAAAAAAAAAAAAAAAAATGTTTCTTTCCCTGGCTCTTTTAAAAGGGGGCGAAATCAACTTCGGGGTAGTTAAATCAAAACGAGGAACAAATTTATAACGACGCCGAATTGGGGAGACGCGACAAAATGTGTAATCGCAATGGCGTACCAACTTCCTCGTGAAAGGTGATCGACGCTTGGCGGCGCTCTATGCCTACGGCCAAGCGCGCTAAATTCAAAATTTCTCATTATTCCGAACATTCACAAGGGCTTGCATTCGTCCATTTTTTTTTCTTTTCTTAATACAATATCGTTTAATGATAATTTTTAGACAATCCGGAGGTTACATAAGCTACATTCTCCTCCTCCTCCTCCTCCTCTCTCTCTCTCTCTCTCTCTCTCTCCCTCCTTCCCTCCTCTCTCTCTCTCTCTCTCTCTCTCTCTCATCAATGAAAATGTATTTGACTTTCAAACAATACTTGCTTACTAAATGGGTATGTAAAGTTGTAAATAAAAATATAACTTATTGACTTTTCTATTTAATTTAATTACTTCTAATACTACGTTTAAAAACTATTTCTTCTTCTTTTCTCTCCTCCCTCTCTCACTCTTTCATTTCACACACTCTCTCTCTCTCTCTCTCTCTCTCTCTCTCTCTCTCTCTCATTTCACGCTTTTTAACTTTTTGGCAATGACATATAATCTTCTCTGATTAATCGTTCGAACGCTCTGTTACATGCCGCTTACGCGAATTTATAATATTTACAATTTTATATTAGTCTCGTTTTATAACAATAAAAACTTTAGAAAAGTCATAATTAACGTAATAATTGCTGCTCTCTAATACTACAAATGAGATATTTCATATGATAAAATTGGATTATCATAATGTTAGCAATATTGGCTTATTTTTTAATGCGAATGAGATCAGTTTCAGAATCACAACGTGTCCTTTAATATATATATATATATATCATTGATAAAGAGCACGTTTGTTGAATTTTCAATTTATATCTATTTTTACGGGATTCCGGGAATTTTCGCATATTTATTATTCGCACGTAATTATGCTACGTAATTTACTCGTCGTGAAATGAAAACAAATATCGTCCATTATAAATAATAATCTGGCCGTCGATATTGTCGCAATTATAGTTCGCAAATTCTGGTTACGTCTAACTTACATGTGATAATGAAAAAATCTCTAGGATATATCACCTTATCTTTCTTAACATTCTATGTATACGCCCAAATATAGGAATTAAAGAAGTGCTAAGCATATCTTCTTTGCTTGTAAATACCTAAAGTGTTCGAGAGGTCAACCAAGTTTTATACATTATTCACACTTACACTAAACTCTCTACAGTAAAAGCGTTTGTGATGCAGTTATGCGTTATAAGTGGATAAAATAATTAAATATGTTTGGAAAAAAAAAAAAAAAAAAAAAAAAAAAGAAATTATCGGATGTTATAAGGAAAATGTCGAATTCGATGCTCTTTAATACAGCTAAGGTTTATCCGCCATATTGAAGTATAAAAATTCATTCGCAAAATCAATGCCATAATCATTAAAATGTCATTGAAGAAGATAATAAAATTAAATAAAGTTGATGAATACGCAAAATTTTTAATAATTATCGAATCTGCTACTGTGAGCTTAAGCAAAACCGTATTTACAATTTAGCCTTTAAAATATAAAACGCGGCGATAAAATACATTAAAAACAAAAAAAAAAAAAAAAAACAAAAAAAAAAAAATAAATACATATATGTATATATATATATAATTTTAGTCGATGTAAAAATGTGTGGCCATAAATTTTTAATAATGACATGGTCATATTTATAATAGCTAATAAAAATCCGTTTAAAATTTATGTATAAGAAAATTTATAGTTGTTATTAATCAACTCATTTAATCATTAAATTAGTCGATAAAATTATTGTCTTGATTATTTTTAAAATGTCTTTGCCTACCAGATTTCTCGATCATAACGACATACCCTTAATTATAATGGAAATTTTTTAACAAAATTTAGTGCCCCGTCAAAGATACTCACGAATTATATTACTTTGCAATGTTGTTAAAAGAATATTTGAAACTTCTATTGAATACCAAAGCTTCACTAATACATACAGGCATTCAAATATTATTTTCCCATCTAACAAAACTGTCGTCTATATATTATATAGTGAGTAATTAAATAAAATATTTTATTTATTACATTACATATTTTAAACGGATAATTATTAGCGAAATAAGCTATTAAGAAATAAAAAAAAAAAAATAAAAAAAAAAAATAAAAAAAAAATTAAAAAAAAAAATTAAAAAAAAAAAAAAGCCTATAAATTGTCCGTAAAATGTGCGCAAAAGAGCATAACAAATGAAAAGAAGAAGCAAAACCATACGCAGAAAAACCTATAGTGTGTATTAAAAATTAAGCTATACCCTGGAAGTTCTTGAGTGAAATATTATAAATATAATCTGAGGGAGTTGCGAGAATTAATACTAAATTATTTTCCTCCGCATTGAAAAATTGGTGGTAATCTTAATATATTGACATTATTGAATAGCTTAACTGCAATATCGAAAAATTTAGATTTATGTAAGATACACAATTAGTTTCTCAACATAGCGTAGATTATAATAAAATAATGATTATCCGAATAAAACTATGTAATACTCATCAAAGCTCTTGAATTTACATAGTTATCTCGTCACCTTATCAATCTATAAATACTATTCCGTAATAAATGCCTTCGGTCTTATTTTTCTATTTTCTTGTTTACTACGATACTCTTGAGCACGATTATATATTTATCGTTGTGTGAAACATGCATAAATAACGATAATATAAATTTACAAAATTATCGGACCCAATTCCCCACTCCCCACTCTTGCGCGTTAATTGTATTCTCGAATTTGAAAGATAATATTTGAATTGCGATTAGTTAGTCGAATGTTTCAACGAAAACATTAATATATTATATGATAAAAATATGGCCATTAAATACATAGAAACGATGTGGTTATACCTTATCCCATTAATAAAGATTTTTAAGTCGTAAAACACGGTTAGTACTGAGAAGATGGTAAATGAAGCTTATAGCGAGCTCTGTCTTACTGCAAAAACACACAATCGGATGTTTTTCTCGCATCAAAAAATTAAAAGATAAAAACCGTTTCCCCGTACGAGTCAAGATAAATTTATGACATTCTCAAATTTACAAAGTCTCGTAAAAATAAGCTTACCGTGTAAAGGTTACCGAAAAAAAAAAAAAAATAATAATAATAAAAATAATAATAATAATAATAATAATAATAATAAATACAAGCTAATGAATCTATTGAAGTAGTTATGACTCATCGCTACTAGTTTGCTGAATAAATGCGATTTTCATTTCTGATTGAGGGGAAAAAGCGTAGCGCGCGCTCTCTCTCTCTCTCTCTCTCTCTCTCTATATATATATATATATATATATATATATATATATATATATATATCACTGTTAAAGCGTTAACATATTAGCATCGAGCGTTTCGATCCTCCACCAAATCGCTGGGACAGTTAAAGAGATACGAGGAGGAGTCGGAGAAACAGATGTTTTACGAAAAGTCCTATTCTCCTAAACGGTGTTTTTCTGCGTATAGCCAACCAACCAACCAACCAACCAACCAAACAGACAGACAGACAGACGGATAGAGGTTCAAAAGAAGAGTAGAAGAGTAAGAAAAATAAAAGAATAGAAGAAGATGAAGATGATGAAGAATCAGAAGAGATGGGGTATAAGCGAGGTGGTCGGAGAAAGAGCAGAGGCGTATCTTCCTCAGTCTCTCGTTCACGAAGCTAATGAATGCGCGTACCTTGGGCGGTTTCCGCTTGGGTGGCGCCTTCCTCTCGGGCTCACTATTGGACGAGTCCTCGTGGAGGCTCTCCGAGTTGGCCGTGGCCGTGGCCGCTCCGTGACCGTTGACAGACTCCTTCACCGGTGTCTTGCGGGATTTAATCGTCACCTTGGATTTATTGATGCTGTTTACGGCCATGGTGCCGATGTTGTGGATCGAGTTCACGGCACTGGGCAAACTCGTCGTCGACGACGTCGTAGTCGAGGCCGCCGACGAGGATGAGGAAACGGACGTCGTCGTGGTCGTCACGGGAGCCGTCGTGGAGTTTGCACTATTGTCCTTGTCTTTGCCTGCATTAAAAATATCAGCGTGTTATCGATCTTCCAATTGCCGATTTTGTGTTTCAATTAAAATGCATTGATAAACAAAAAAAGGTAAAAAAAAAAAAAAAAAAAAAAAAACGAAAAGAAAAAATTCACAAAAGTTCAATTATTAATCGGCTAGGTGAAATTTTTTCATAATTTTGAAAGAAAAATCAGAATAACAGGAAGAAAGGGTACGATAAAGAAAGGGGCAAATTTATGTTCTTTTATTATCTCTGCCTAGTCATACCAACAATATCATCTACAAATTGCTTAACTATTAAGCAGAACTACCTGATATTCCCCCATAGTACAAAGATTTCCTTACATTACCCGAACATTTAAATTCTTAACGTAATAAAATGAATCATCGGTTTTATCTCTGTTACTCCGTACTAATAATTCGAAATTTCTTTAATTAGCTCTTAAATAATCGAGCAAAGGCCACAGTATTATAGCGGCATATTAGTTTAAGCTCGAAAGCAATTAAGAATTTATTTAATATATAATAGCAGAATAATATTATCATTATCCGTAAGCGGAGAAAATATTAAAGAACTGCTTTCTTTGACCCGACCGATTTCTCTGAACGAGTAACGCCCCGTTGCATCTGTTGCTTTTACAACAAAAGTATCTATTGCCAGACGCATGGGAAGTAGCAACGTAAGCATGCGCAAACATCCGCAGCCCAAAATTTTTTGTTCAAATCAACAAAATCAACGCTATTGCATATGCTTCGGGCTCAACTATCTCCCCCCCCCCACCGGTCACAATGAGTCTCTAACGCAATCGTCTCGGCAATAAAATTGTTTTTTAATACATAATGTTCGAGACATAATCGACATTGTCTCGTTGATATAATTGAGGCGAGCTAAAGCAGCCCGATTATCGGCTCACCAGCATTGCCGTTTGCCTGCTTATTGGTAGCGATATTAAGCGGCAGGGTGAGGCAGGAGCCGCTGCCGACGATGCCCGTCGTGTCCTCCGTGCCGTCCTCGCCCGAGTGTCGCTGAAGCCAGGCCTTCTTAAGCTTGTGCACGGGGTAGCTGCTACTGCTGGGCGGTCGTGTCGGCGCCGGACTATCGGCCTTCACCGGGGTCGTCGAGCTCGGGGGTGGCGCTGGGCTCGGAGCCGGCGAGGCCGTGGTCGCGCCGGGGCCATGAGTCGCCGGATTCCCGGGTAGGGATCCGACGCTCCCGGCCGATGAAGGCCGTACCGAGCCGTCTCCGCTCGCCGTCCGCGGCGCCGGGGATACCGAAGGAACGTTCACCTGAGGACAGAAGCAACGAGAATATTGGCTCCCTTCGAACCACTGCCACTACACCGTCGTTCTCTCGCAATAACTTCTTAACGACCTCAACAGCCATCGGCCGACGGATAAGCACCAGCCTCTCGCAGCATCAATACCAATGTACGCAGAGTTTTGCGTGCTTTCCCCGATTATTATGACGATATCGCCGTTTCGTTACCACGATTTTCTATCGATACCACGAATTTGTATTGATCAATGCCGAATCAATTATGGTGTGGACCAGCGCGTAAATGATAATAAAGATATTTTCATGGTTATTACTGGGCCGAAATAAGAATTGCCAATAATATTTCCAATTTATTTAACGGCCTGTGATTTACCGTAGACAGAACACTCTATACGGAAATTATCAAACGCTTAATTTGCATTCTAAATTCGATTACAATACCACGCGGTAACTATCGGTAGCTTTTTTTTTTCTTCTTTTTGCATAATGCGACGTTAATGGCAGACGAATGGTCGAGCCGCACCTTGAGAGCCCAGGGCGACACCACGACGCTGGGGCACGTTGTAAAATTCAAGCAAAATGCTCACCTGGCTTTGGCTGTTGGATTGCGCGAGCAGCGCCGTATTGACGACGGTGGTGATGGTGGTGGCCGCCGAGGCGATGAGCGGACTCGGCTCGCTGACTCTCGCGAGCATCGGGGAGCCCGTCGCAGTCTGCACGGTCGTCACCGCCGGCTGCGTCTGAAAGGAACGATAGCGTTGCTTTCCGTTGATGCCACTTTACCTCCTTGCCCGTGTAATCACGATCGATTAGCCTTGGATGACTCCCCTTCTTCGCGGGTTCCCGGTCTTCCCGTCTCCACGCGTATCCCGATCCATTGTGCACACGTAGCCATATGTTTGTTTGCGGTACGCGATCGCGTGCGAATTGCCACGAGTTCATATCGCGTCGCATTGATTTGGGAAGAAAAAAAAAAGTAAGAAAAAATAAAACCCGAATGAGAGGAATTTGTAGGTTGATGCGAGGGTCGGGTAGAAGGTACGTCGTCGGTAGGCACATTGCAACGATTTCCCGGGCATTAAAAGTATAAGAAATTCGATTAATTAAAATTTGAAGCTCGTAAGTTTATTATATTGGCGGTATGGGATTGATGTCGCGTTCGTTGAATTATTTGCTTAAAATGTAAAGCAAGCAGATAGATATCGATATGATCGTATTGTCATTGGGTAGATTAAATTGAACTCGTGGATGATAAGAGCCTCATTTGTTTTAAATTCAAAGTTACTTGTACGTACAATCATCGTGCACCGCGATCAACGAGAAAATTTAGAACGTGAAGCAGGCGTAATCACGACAAGGACGTGACGTATCCCGTAAATCTTGTTTCATTTAAGGCGCATTATTGGCGTAACGAAGGAAGCGAACATTGCACGCGGTGAACGACGAATCTCCTCGGCCGTACCTGCTGATGATGCTGATGCTGATGCTGATGCAGCAGCAGCTGTTGCTGGTGCGACTGTTGGTGCGACTGCTGATGCGACTGCTGATGCTGCGACAGTTGTTGCTGATGGGGGTTCTGCGTCGTTTCGTCGAGCCTTCGCTTCTTGGCGAGCTCCAGGGAGACGGGCTGCTGTCCGTGGTCGCAGCTCTGGGGTGTGCTCGCCTTGCGCTTGGGCGAGCCGGACCTCTCCACGCCGAGATCCAGGGGCTGCGTCTGGAAGCTATTGGGCCCGGCGCCCACGGCCCCGAGCTGCTGGGGACTGTGCTGATGGTGAGCGATCGGGTGTACGATTCCCGGTGGTGGCCTCGCGATCGGCGCCAGGGCGGCGCTCGGGGGCAGTAGGTGCATGGGGGACGCCAGTTTTCTGGAAAGTGACAAGAGGACCTCGCGCTCAGCATTGCATCGTCTCTCACGATTTTGGATGGCAGAGAGCTTGCTGCTTGTGCGAAACCTTGAAACTCCGTTTCACCTGGTAAAGTTCCTCGTAACGGCTAATTTAAAGTGAAGTTTGTACGTAACGAAGATTACGAACCTTCTTCCATTACGCGCTGCCCTCTATATATTTTAGGAAAGTTTCCAAATGACAGATATTATTCAGTATAAAAGTTTGCTGTTCGAGCAATGTCTGACAACAAATAATGTTGTTGGCTCATGCTCGTTGAGCTCTTGCTAATCCTCGAATGTATGAAATATTGATTCATCGTGTCTTGATGGAATTTTCGTTTTGCGTTGTGAGACTGGATAAGGACGCGACTCGGTGTGAACGTGAAGGTAAATTCGCCCCGGGGCACAAACGCATATTGTGGAAAATTCACGCGATAAAGACGCGGACATAATGAAGGAATGGCTAAGCGATCGCTCTGTCATTTCCATCAATGGCTCTCGCAATGCAAGAGCGACGCCGATACTTACCCAATGCCAGGGGCGGAGTGCAACGACGGTGGTGGAGGCGGTAGTTTGGAGGCTCCCAGAGGACTACCGTAGCTCCTCGAATCGTAGGGGCTGCGACTGGAGTGAGCCGGCGGCGGTGGCAAATGGGCAAAGTGCGAGCCCGGATGATGGCCGATCGGCTGGAATGACGAGGCACCGTGACCAGGGAGTCCAGCGCCGCCTCCAGCTTTCGAGGTGAGAGGCAGCGGTACCGAGGACGAGCTCGTAGCCGAGGACAAGGAGGCCGAGGACGAGGAAGCCAAGGAGGCCGTAGACGAGGAGCCCAAGGAGCCCGAACCACTATCGGAGGCTCGACACACCGGCGTCCCCGTCATTATTCCCGAGCTCGGCTTACCGTAGATGTGCGACGGTGCTGGACTGCTTACCTGCGCAACCATACGTAACTATAAGCACGAGTCATTATAGAAATTTTTGCTCCTTAAAGGATATGAATAAAATAAAGAAGAAGAAAAAAAAACTCTCGTCTCCAATGTTTCCTAATCGATGATAGTCTCGACAGAGCTAGCTGAATCTACGAGGAGAGAGACGCACCTTGGGTTTGGATCCAGCCGATGCAGCGTAGTGCGAGGTAGGCGATGCGCTAGGCTGATGAGGATGATGTCCATGCGGGTAGGCCGAGTAAGGGCTTTTGGCTTGATGTGGGGGATAGGCGAGCTGGGGCTCGGGCCTGCTCAGGTATCTCGGTTCCGGTGGCGAGGGATGCGGCACCTGGGATACCGGATGCTGCTGCTGCTGCTGCTGCTGCTGTTGCTGCTGGGGCTGCTGGGCCTGTTGGGGCTGCTGGCCGTGGGGCGAGTGCCGGTTAACGGCCGGATGCTGAAGGCTCGTCGGATGGTGGGCGCTTCCCGGTCGACTGAGGTGTCCCGACTGGGGGCTGGCGCCAATAAGGCTTCCGGGTTTGGACTGTTGCGCAAGGTCGTTCTGCAAGTGGTGATGATGATGGCCATGGGGACTTTGCGTCGGCGAGCGACACTCGTACGGCGACTTATGCTGCGAGCTCGTCACCTGTTGAAATCCATACAGATAAAGAGCGAGTTAGACATTTGTCGGACATCGGCGCCGTTATTACCGATCGCTCTATGCCGCTTGACGGGCCGTTTGAACGGAGAGCGAGGGGTTCGGCGGTTGGGGGGTTGGGGCAAAACCGAAGAAACGCATTAGCGAGTTGGCAATAATGTTCCCATTTTGCTCGGCAATACTTTACGACCCAAGAATTATTGGATTGACGCCAGCCAGTCAATCTATTATACAAAACTGTTAATAGTGACGGCCCAAAATTAAGAAAAATAAGACGTTGCGGCGGGCGACTCTATTGAATTTATACTTGACAAAACTTGAAAATTTTCATTATCGGTCGAAGGTCGAAATGTATTCTTCAGCCAATTAGCCGAGTTTACTGTTACAAAGTTGTCGCTGAAAATTCTTGATATTTTATAAAATGCCGTCAACTAGCTTCATGTAAACGTTTGCTCTTAACATTCGTTTCCATTGCAATTAAAAATAGTACATAAAACTCGTTGTGATCGATATAGTTGAATATAGACGGACGCTGAAACAGCAAACGTCGACTCTGCACTAGAGCTTAAAAAAGTCGTGACTTGGCTCATCGAATGGCAAAGTACGTCGACTAAGGAGAGCGCGAAGTGAATGTAATGTGCCGAACCCGAGGATTGCCCGAGTACGTTAAGCGTGAGCAATGGTTGTTGGCTGTTGGCGATACTTACGGCGACGGGCTGAACATTGAGGTAAGACATCATCTTGGGGCTGGGCGAGTGTGCGGGCGCGACCACCGACTGCTTCGGATGCTGATCCCTGCTGACCTCGTTCTTCACGATGACGGAGCTCTTGTGATCGGAGAGCAGAGGCGGTGGATTGGGCAGTACGTCGCCCCTCGCTGACACGTGGTGATCCCTGTCGACAAGACCGACGACGCCCGGCTTGCATTGCTGGCCCGTCGTCGACTTGCTCACCTTGATGTCGTGGACGAAACCACCGCTCGGCTGATAGCTCGAGTAGCCGAAAAGGCTCACGTTCGGCTCGGCCTTTGGCAGGCTTTGGTGGGGCTGATGCACGACCTGTGGCTGCTGCTGCTGCTGCTGCTGCTGCTGCTGCTGCTGCTCGTGCCGAGCCGAGACGGACATCGACACAGCCGCAGCCGCCGCCACCGACGAAGACGAGGAGGAGGAGGAGGAGGACGAGGAGGAGGACGACGACGACGACGAGGTCGACTTGGAGGTGCGCGAATGAGCCGGCGGTGGTGGATAATCGACCTTGTTTGGGACGCTCGACGGTCGGGAAATCTGAAAATGCGATCGGAAATACGCCGTTAGAGAGTAATGCCGAATAAACGTATGCTGGAGGCATCCGGAAGAGTGAGCGGTAACCTACTTTGCCACTTTCAGCTGAAAACGTCAAGTGACAACTGACCTGTTGAGCGGACTGTGGAACGGCAGCCGCTCGAAGGTAGGCCAAACTCTGCTGAGCCGCGTATTCGCTTGCCTCCTGTTGCTCCCTCTGTGACCTCTCGGCAGCAACCTGAGCGGCAAGCTGGTGCTCTCGTTCCCGGTGCTCGCGTTCCTCTCGATCACGCTGCTCGCGCTCGCGTTCTCGCTGCTGCTGAGCGACACTGACAACCGAGTGCTGACTCTGGCTCGTTTGTTGCTGCTGCTGCTGCTGCTGTTGCTGCTGTTGAGGTTGCTGCTGTTGCTGTTGCTGGTGTTGTTGCTGCTGCTTTTGCTGTTGTTGCGGCTGCGATTGGGATTGCTGCTGCTGTTGCTGAGGCTGTTGGGGTTGCGGCTGCGGCTGCTGTGGTCCGGACGAACCTACAGGCGCGCCCGGATGATGGTGGAGAGGGGCATGGGTGCGTCCGGTCCCAGGCGGTGGCGCCAGAGGGATAAAGCTGTTCCACGCCATCGAGGCCGTCTGCATATTCCTCTGCACAAGAGAATAAGACACCTACTTCAATCAATACCGCTCTTTCATCGTGGGGCTCATTTGGTAATTTGGTAAAGCCGGTGGTAATTTGGACTTATGGGGTCGGGAACGTAAATTGCGGTTAAACTTTCGACTATAAATGTAAAAGTTGAAATTGATTTTTTTCAAAATGGACGGGATGGCTTGCGTGAATGTGTCAGCTTGTGCAGTCGCTAATATCGTTTGACTAAAAAAAAATAATAATAATAATAAAAAAAAAAAAAAAAAAAAAATAATGGTCTTAATGTTGTACAAATGTATTTCCTAGTTAATATTGGAAATTAATTACCCAGGCTGTTTGTCTGGCAATTAATTCGAGTACGACTTCGTTTCATAGATAATCGATAAAATAATAATAAAAAAAAATAATAATTTGTCTTGAAGCACTAAGTCAGTAGCAATAAATTCGTTATATTGATTTCTGATTCGCGAGTAACAGTGTTGTAGTTTTATGAAAAGTGCCGATAGAGCAGCGAATAGCAATATTGTTGGGAATAAAACATAGATAAAACATTTCATTTAATATTGCGATAATATTAAACTGGTAAATGAGTAATAATAAGTAATACAGGCGATATTCATATAAATGTTATCAATGATCAACATTTTTGTTCGAAAGATTCATTTGTATTTTCGTATCATATACGATTATTTAAAAAAATATTGTAAAAACAGAGTTTTCCTTATTTTATCTTATCGGCATCTTATTATATTGTATACTTATTAAAATACTCTCTTATCTCGATAAAACTGATTACATAGTAAATACATAAAACGGCTGACAGATAAGCTATTGAATTCACTGACGAAATTAATTCATATTATTATATCACAAACGAACGTTAAATTATGGACTCTTGGGCTAAGCATTTTATTTAAAAAAAGAATGCTGTTCCACATGCCCGTCATGAGCAATTAATTATCTTACAAGTTTTTTGTATTTTTAACTCGTCTAATTATAATCTTAATATCGAGTCGCTTGTTTCTGTGATTATTAAGTACTTACGAAATTTTTTCCATATAAATAACATCAAATATTGAAATTATCATACAACGTAACGTAGCAAATAAGTAGATAGATAATACCTGTACAAGGAGACAAGTTTTGTAGGTCAAATTACCATACCTGCATCAGCCGTGAATTTTACAAGCGAGATAGATAGATGGCAGACTACGGACTTACTTACACAAAGTTAGGCGACACGAGTACATAATCCGAATGGAAATATTCGCCCCCTAGAGAAAAGTACCTATCACTTTTGAAAACGCATGCTCGTACAAAAAAGGAGAGGAATCCTAATATATATATATATATATATATATATATATAGACGTGCAATATGCTTCTTAATTACATTCCAAGGAATTACAAAATTCTATAAATAATATTATAATTTTTAATCGACCGCATAAGCAAATGCTAATCGCGTGTAGAAGGCACATTAGAATTTAATAAAATACTTAATGTAGAAAAGTTCTTTGCCAAGGTCGTTGGGAATTTATAACAGTGTCGATGTTTGTTCAAAAAATGCGGAGCGTGACTCGTACAATATAAACGAGCACAAAAAGTTATTAAAACGTAATGTGCGGGTAACAATATTTTTAAGATGAATTATAAATAAATATATATATATATATATATATATATATATATATATATATATATATGTTTGGAGATTTAAAAAACTTCAGTGTACAATAGCTTACGGCAAAGTGAATTTATGGCATGACAATAGTGGATATTAAAAAAATTTTATTTGAACGAGATATATTTTTTTTTTTTTTCATTAATTAGGACATTAGTATTATCATTCAATTGCAAATAAGCAATGGTCACTGGCGCAAAACAAATATGTAAAATTTATCATAATATTTACGATATTACTATCCGGTAAATATTTATACATAATAAATCAATATTTTCCTAATTACACATAAACTTTTACTTCTACGAAACTTTAATAATCGTAAATATTTACTGTGAATTGTGAAGTAAAAGATGAGTGGGTAGACAAGGAAGCAATATCAGATTATACTTAAATAAGTAGATCTTGAATATGTGCAAGTATATTGTAAATAAAATTTTTGTTAAACGAAATTGAAAAATAAATGGTATTCTTATGTTAATAAGGTGGGTATTCTGGTTGCGAATAATAATGTCTAATAATAACAACAATAATGAGATATAAGATAATTTATTAGTTAATGTACAAGCAAATTGCAAATATTTAATGATTTTTCTTTTTCGCTCAAGCAATGATGTAATAAATAAATATGTAATTTAGATAAAGTAATTAAATAATTAATCAATATTCGAAATAACTTTTTTCAAATTAAAATACAGTTTTTCCTCGAAACGTGAGAAGCAAATGATTTTTCATTTCTCTGACAAAGCAAGAACGACTAGAAAAAAGAATAGAGGCACTTGGAATATATATATTTATAGTGTGCGAAGTGTGTATGAATTATTATTATTATATTAATATTATAAAGAGTAATTGTATTAATTTACTTTGTCAGATTGAATTTCCACTTTAAATAAAAAATATAGTTCATTCCCTTTAATCCCGTTAATTATCTTTGCTAATTATGATGCGTATAACTTACAATCGCGACAAATGAGAGTTTCTTTACGAAAAAATGAAAGAAAAAAAAAAAAAAATAAGAAAGAATGAAAAAGGAAAGAAAAGAGAAATTTTAATTTGTCACAAGACGATAGCCTCTGATGGTCGATGCGTTACGGTTGAATGAATGATGATGGCACTTCAACGTTTTCTATTTTAAAGATACGAGGCTTGTCATTTACTAAACCAACTTCCGTTTTGCATGTGTAAAGTATCCGAGTAAACTTTTAACAAGGACAATCTCTCTCTCTCTCTCTCTCTCTCTCTCTCTCTCTCTCTCTCTCTCTTCATTTAAAATTTAACGAACGTACCGAGATAACTTTTTATACACCGCGTAATTATATATTACAATTTATTCTATGCTGAATAAAAATTTATTTTCAACCGAAGAATGGCCTTTCTCACTACTCATCGAATAGATTTACTCTGGACAGAATTAAGTTAGAGCATTTAAACCGTCATAATTACGATAAGTAACTGGTAATTATATGCGTGGCTTCGCGTGTGTTTAACATACTCAATTATATAATACGAGACATACATTTTCCAACGACTCTAACTGAGTTAACATGTGTCAATCAACAACACAATCTATCGTGAAATATTCTACTTCAGGCGCAATTTATGAATTTGGATGAATGTCTTATCACTCTTGTTTGGTATCAATTGTCATGAATCATATAAGTATTTAAACATTCGAAATTGCCAACAAGCAGTAATTTTACGTCTAAAATTCCGTTTGCGTCCTTTGAAAAAAATGATGATCATGCACATTATTTATATTTACAAATGCATTAAATTATATGAATTTATGTTATTGACAAAGCAATCGCGTATACGTATTATTGCAGACATTGTTTTTTATGTACATTTAATCTTTTTTTATTATTGAAAAATTTTTTCTTTCTTACTTGCTTTTGAGTCAAGTTTGATGATTTTTCTCGATATTCGATATTCGATCCCTCATACATATTTATTTAACGCAAAAGTATTATCCGTTATACGACTGCTTACAAGATCTTAGCGGGAATTTCGTTATTATCATATTAGAATATTATTAAAATAATCTTGTTACTTGCATATTGGACGACGATTAAAATAAACAGTAGCCATTTCCAATGTCGACAAAGTATTGCGTGCCTTTCAATAGGTGTGTATTATCGATCTCATTTTTAGTCTGACCGAAGCAAAAAAAATATGTAAGTAAATAACGTGAATTTCTTTATTTTCAGTAAGTAATAATCGACGATGAAAAACACGAATTCCATTTATCTTTTATGGCTGTATATATACACAAGCAGCACTTTACAAATACACAATTGTAAATTTATGGCGTTATTCTTATTAAAAAACTATATCAAGCTTAATGGTATTAACAGCCATCTAACTCCTCTTAATATACGAATTCATCGAAATATGTAATTTGATGAAATGCGAACAGCATAAAACAACGTACGATATTAAAAAATAAAATTTAGTGATCGACTTTGAAATTTATACCACGAACTCTAAGAATAGTCATAAGGAAGCGGACGATTATAAAGGCTATGAGATAAGCGCAGTGGCGTCTCCTACCCGTGTCCACATACCTATGCGATCTAGATATTGATAAGATGCTATCGATATCAGTTCATGCATTTATCATTCTTTGTCCTTTGTTTTTCTCATGCTTATCTCCAAATCTATTAGTTAGACAAGTAAAAATCGCGAGAGAGAGAGAGAGAGAGAGAGAGAGATAGTGAGAGAGAGAGCGAAAGGATGTTAGAGAAGAAACCAACCACGTGGTTATTTACTGCACGCAATTTTCACGTTTGCCGGTCTTTGTAAATTATTCGTGCACGCACAACTCGCTGTAGAACGTAACGATGATCGACATTCCAACGAAATTTTAAGCCACTCAAAAAACAATTATGACAGTTATTCTCTTGAAGAGTTGAGTGAGATTGAGTTGTATTAGATTAGAGTGTAATTCGTTCTCATTATCGAGTGAGATATCGATTATTTAAAAACATAAAAATTATTTGCCGACAAATTAAATGTCATTGCTTTTTAAACGATGTGAATTTATCATTTCATTTGTATTGTTTCAATTATTTACAATTATACTGAAAATATTGAAATGATGATTTTTTTTTTTATTTAATACAATACGAATTTTTAATAATAATATTTATTAGAAAGACAGTGCGGTATAGGAATCAAGGCCGAATCGACTGATTTTAATTACAAGTGAATAGTAGAATCGGAGAGAGCGGAATTACGTTTCTTATCACAGAAATAGATGAAATAGTGTCAGCATCCATAAAATTCTTTCAGCAAAGCCTTGACAAAAAGATTCAAGAGACATTAATGACGTGG